TGTCAAACAGGGTCTTAGTTTGACAGGTGTCACTTTCTCATTGGTATATTTTCTGTTTAAATGCTTTGGACCTTCTCTGTAAACTCATCTTTGATGAAATAAAAGTTCCAGTGAAAACCGCAGCACATTTTGGCTGCTCAAATCGATTCTGTAGAAATTTAATACTATTCCTTAACCCGAGCCACAGAGATGAGGAGGAAACTACCTGGATCGATCTCTCTTTTCCTCTGTCTCGAGTTGGACGTTGTTCCCTTTGAAAGATTGACCACGAGGGGAGCAAGTTAAACCTCGTTCTCCTAATCCCTCTTGACAAAGATTCCCTATAGAACTTTTTTTTCTAGATTGGCTCGATTAAATTGTGCTTAAGCTCTTCGAAAACCCTATCATCTTTTCTTTTTCTCGTACAGTCAAATTATCATAAACTTATCAATACTACAAAAGATATGAGGTGATGAAATATAATGTCATCTCGAACCGTTTCTGTAATTAATAGCATTGTAGCTAGGTGGGAAAAGCTAAACTGAGTTGGATTCCAATTGGAATGTCTTAAGGATAAGAAAATTAGGTGTATCCAACTAAGGGATTCTCTACTGATCATGTCAATAATACATAGTACTCGTATGTAATATTAAAGGGTGGCAGATTACACTATCGTATCCTTTCTCAACATTATTCAATATGAAGTGCTCGACAAGACTCAACAATATATTGATCAGATTTTTATCAAACATGCCATTTACAAATTTGCTTGCAAGTTACTAATTCGCTTGCAAGCGATACTTGCATTTTGTAATATTAAGGCGCACATGAAGTTTCTCTCGGAGTCTTTTTAGTTTATTTAGTGCGCAAGGTCAAAAGAACAAGATAGACAACAAACAAGATTCTACTTATTATTTTCATTTTTTTCCAATTTCTCAATAATGTCAAAAGTTATTCATTATTCCACATGCAAAACGAACAATTAACCAATTTTCTAATGACTACTATCCAATTGATTCAATTCTAGTATTAACTAACAATTGAAGAGCATGTTTGGTAAAGATTTTTCAAGCTTCGAAGTTGGTTGAATATCATTTTAACCAATATTCCTTATAATCCACAAACTTTGTCTACTTTTTAACTACGAATTCGTAGAGATCCACGTGCTCATAAGGAATTAAAAGATTTTTCAAGCACGAAGTTTATGCTCTCGAACCTTATTAGCATTATTTAAAAATTAGCACGCATTGTTGAACACGATTAAAACTGTCGCGAATTAAATTTTTATATTCTTTTTCCTTTTAAATTAATATAGTCTATCTAACCAAACATGTGATTTACCAATTCTTGTCCACATATTGGTTCGAAATAAAAATTTGATGTGGGAGACAGCGCTAACACACTATCGACAATAGCAATTTTATGGTGTATTTGTATATTGGACCACTTTGTGGGACAGAAAGAATGCACTTTACTTGTATTTCAATCTTCACATTGCATGGACGCGCTTTTGTACCTTTATAAATAGCCAACAATCTTTCGATTCAAATATAATTCCAATGGCCACTCACAGAAGTGTTATAAGTGTGGTCTTCTTTGTTTTATTGATCGGAGTTATATATTCGGAGGCTCGAGTCTCCCTCGGAGTCGATAGTTATGCCGGCATTGGTGTTGGCGGCGGTGGAGGTGGCGGAGGTTCTGGTGGAGGATCCGCCTCTGCAGCAGTAGGTGAACATGGTTATGCAAGTGGTGCTGGAAGCGGTGGCGGTAATGGTGCTGGATATGGTGGTAGTGGAGAACATGGTGCTGGAGGCGGAGGCGGTGGAGGTGGAACTGGTGGCGGAGGAGGGTCTGCTGCTGCAGGAGGAGATCATGGGGCAGGTTATGGTGCGGGAGGTGGTGAAGGAGGCGGTTCTGGGTATGGTGCAGGAGGTGAACGTGGAGCAGGTGGTGGTGGAGGAGGAGGAGGTGGAGGTGGAGGTGGAGGTGGAGGTGCAGGTGGGGCACATGGTGGTGGGTATGGTGGAGGTGAAGGAGCGGGAAGTGGAGGTGGCTATGGTGCTGGCGGGGAGCACGGTGGGGGCGCTGGTGGAGGAGGAGGACATGGAGGTGGTGGTGGAGGTGGTTCAGCTGGAGGAGCAACAGCCGGTGGATATGGTAGTGGAGGAGGTGCTGGCGGCGGTGCAGGAGGAGGAGCTCATGGTGGAGGTTATGGGGGAGGTGAAGGTGGTGGTGCTGGAGGCGGAAGCGCTTCTGCTGGAGGTGAACATGCCGGTGGATACGGAGGAGGTGCAGGCGGTGGTGAAGGCGGCGGCCACGGTGGCTACGCCCCTTGAAAGTACAATGTCAACACCATTAATTGCATTGTCCAAAATGGATATATCTTCGTATTAAAAATGTATTCAGAATAATTTAACTGATGAGAATGTGCTTAGCACTTAGTAGTGCATGGACGTATATTCAGCTTAATCAAATTAAGTTAATTATAAGCTGCGTTTTCATAGTACTATTATATTGATAAAAGTCAACAAATAACTGCTAGTATTTCTATTTTAATCCGATTTTAATCTTTATCAAAGAAACTCTCAAAAGATAGAGCAAATCCGTGTATAAATATACCCGCAACCTAGAGAGGTTAAAAAAATGAAGGGAGAGCGTTTAAGATTGCAATTGATAATTTGTTTCAACCTTACAAAATCAAGGTTATTCATACTTCCAAACAACAGATATTGATAACGATGGAGCGGCGCATTTTATTATCTCTTCGAGTTGATCCAACTGTTAGAGAGGTTTCCAGAAATAGAGGTCGTTTGTCCATTGTCGCGCTTTATTGAATTCACTAAAGTCATAAGAATGAAATTATTTGTTTGAAATTTTTGTATCACTTCCAAAAAGATTCTAAAGGTATTCTTGTAGCCACCGCCAAAAATAAAATAACTTCATTTATGTGAATCCTTAAATAGGTGATTGAGAATTTAGATGAGATATCTTCCAATTTAGATGAATTTCTTTGATCATGGGTCAATTTATTGAAATTGGAAACTTCTTGTGAGTTGTTCAGTAATTGTCATGCAGAAGAAAAATAGTACCAAAAATAAACCTAAAATATCTTGTGACAACTCACAACATTACATCAAGAGAAATCAAATTAACCTCCCGTTTCAGCCATATTAAAATTCTCATTATCATTCTTTTACTCATTTTTAACCATAAATTTTTCAGTAAAATAATATTTTTCGTCGCATCAATAACTTTTTCTTCTTTTTCAACCACACATTCTTCATTAATTTACTATTCCAAAATAATATGGCTCAAACACACCCTAAATAGCGCAGAATTTTAAATGGATTTTTTTCGAAAAGGATTGTTATTTCTAAAATCGTTGATATTTTTTACAAACATTCACGATGCATTTATTGCATAAATTAGCTTTTCACGACGCACGAGTTTTCAAAAATACCTTTATAACTACGACTCGCGTTTAAGACTCCGTAACAATTGATGAACTAATTTCGTTTTTATGCATCTTAGTGAATTTTGTTAATTGAGAACTCATGTAGATTTTTTTTGGTTCAATGATAAATAAGCCAAAAAAAATTAGGATCGAAAAAAAGTACCGTAATTTACAAAGTTCGAAAAGCCAAATGCAATTTCCCCTTAAAACGTAATAAACAACTTGTACACTCTGGCATCACATGTAGCAAAGCAAAACCAATCAAATCATTTCATGTTGCAAATTTAACACGGTTCGTTCAAAACTCTCACTGAGACATGTCATACACGCTCTTATGCGAAACCCTATGTATGTGGAGGCCACGCATGGAAAATTAGTTATAACTTGAACTAAGTGCAAGAAACATCACGTTTTGACAACAGAACAATCTGGATTCATTTTAGAGAAATGATATTTGTACCGAGGGAGGACTATCGAATTGTGTCCCCCCTCTCACATGATTTGCGGGCCGCCACACATTAAAAAATGCCGAGCTGAGGCCCCAACCCCCAATGTGAGGGGGGGGGGGGGGACACCATTCGGTAATCTTCCTCAGTACATGTAGCACGATCCTCCATTTTATGGGTGTCAAAATGGATTGATATTAAGAGTTTTGCAATAGACAAGCAAAAAAAAAAATTTTTGAATTTGAACAAAAGGACCCTAATTTGTGAAGCTTTGGACAATTTTTTCACTCAATGAAAAAATGATGTAAATGTTATAACGTTTACATTATTTTTTACACTTTATCTTGTGACAATGTCGCCCAGATTAAGTTTTGGATAATTTTTTTTATCCAATCATCACTTGTAATCAAATTGTTCACTCTAATATTAAGAAGGTGTTTGGTAATGATTAAAATTAGATTTTTAGTAAATTGAAATAAAAGTTTTTGAAACGTGTGGTTGAAAAGTTATGGAATCCATAAAATATGTGATTAATATCGATTGTTTGATTTTGACTGGAATTAAAATTAGATTTTAACCCGAATTAAACAATGGCTAAAACACGACCAGTAACATCATCGCACGTGACAAATATACAACTCGTGTAATACAATTGCTCACTTGGAGCGTGACACACTATTTTGGGACTGGTAAGAAAGTCGCGCCCAGGATGAGTCCAAGTGTATGACGTCACACACACAATCTCTCTCTCTCTCAAAACGAACCGCCCTTGTCTGCCTCCAAAAAACGCGACTCTCTTTCTCTCTCTAGATTTCGAAAATCCAAAACGAATTCGAAACAAAACTGACCCTCAAATTTTGAAAAAACTCACAATTTTACCCCTAAACCAAAAAAAAAAAAAAAACCTAACCCTAGCCGCCCATGCACCAGAACATATAAAATTAGGAATTTGTACAATATTTGTGCATTTATCTTGTTTCTTGATGAATATTTGGGTATCTGGAGAGGAGGAATTGAATCTGTGGGTTTAATTTTGATTTGATTAGATTAGGATTGGGTTAGGGTTTCAAGGGAATGGAATGCTGCGGGGTTGGTGGTGATGGAAGTGTGTGGTAAAGACGATGACCGGCGGTGGAGGCAGATGTCAGAGGAGAAGGAAAACCATGGCTGGTGGTAGGGGTGCCCAAGCCACCACCGAATCGAAAAAACAAGGTAGTAATAATTGCCCTAATTTGATACCTGAATTTACCGAAAAGCCCTCGAGTTCCAAGAAAATTAGGAAACTACCCCCGTCTCCCACAATTGAGTCAGATTTCTACACTCAAGCTCTTAAAGCTCTCTCCTTCCGCTCTCCCTTTGATTCTGAAGACTCTCAGGCCCCTTCAGCTTCTATATCGGGTGCTTATAATCTTCCCAGTGGGGTGTCTTATTTCTTAAACAGACACTCGGATAGTCGGAAAAGGCAAAAGAAGTCGCATTTGGGTTCAGAGAAGAAGTCGTCGGTCTCGGGGCGGCCTCGTGGAGGTAACATTTGGGTTGAGACCGAGGAGTATTTTCGTGAACTGAATGTGGAGGACATTGAGAGGCTCCACAAGGTCTCAAATGTCAGGTTCTCTGGTGACGAGAAGTTCTTCTTTGTCCCTTCTTTGTATAATAGTGAAAAATTGCTCACTCGATATGAAGTTTACAACAACATGCTTGCAAGTGCTTGTCAAAATGATAGTTCTAATTCACCAAATGGATTTGAAATGGATCGTTATGGTAAGGATGAGGTTGATGGAATGGCGAAAGCAGAGAATGATTCGAATATTATGGACGTGGATAGTTTGGGTGGAGAAAATACAGAGTCGGCTACTAAAGAAGAAAAATATGTAGGGAAGTTAGACAATGGTGAAAAGGATTTTTCATCTTTTAGTGGAATAGAATGGCTTTTAGGATGTAGGAGTAAGGTTTATTTGGCTTCGGAGTTTCCCTCCAAGAAACGGAAGCTTTTAGGCAGAGATGCAGGGTTGGAGAAGCTTCTCGTGGCTCATCCAATTGAAGGGTCTGATTCGTTATGTCATTACTGTAGTTTTGGTGACACAGGCAACCAGTTGAATCGCTTGATTAAGTGCAGCTCTTGTGCCATGGTGGTCCATCAGAGGTGTTATGGAGTTCAGGAGGACGTTGATAGTTCTTGGTTGTGTGCATGGTGTAAGCGGAAGAATGATGTTGGGTTCAATAGTGAGAGGCCGTGTTTGCTTTGTCCAAAGGCAGGTGGTGCTTTGAAGCCTGTGCAAAAAAGGGGCTTCTCTATCGAGAACGAGGGGTCTAAGTTTCAGTTTGCTCACTTGTTTTGTTGCCAGTGGATACCTGACTTATATTTGGAGAACACTAGGACAATGGAGCCAATAATGAATCTTGGTGAATTGAAGGAAACTCGAAGGAAGTTAATTTGTTATTTGTGCAAGGATAAGTGTGGTGCCTGTGTTCGATGCAGTAATGGTATGTCTTGCTGCTTTTCTTATGTAACCACACACTACATTTCTTTGTTGGATGACAGGACAGAGGAATGTTGCGATAATTAGAATCTATGGTTATTTGATATATTTTGAAATGTACTGCATAGGTGATGTGTACGACCTCTTTATCCTGTGTTTTACACAATTAGATCATCAGTGAATTTCATCTTTTGGAAAAATCTGGCTTACTATTTGTAAAACCATTTTGTAAAGGTGGACATCATAAGAAGATACAAATTTATAAAATTACTGTTTATTCTGTCGGTTGTTCCCTTTTTCTCCGGCCCTCTTTAATTTTTTCTTGTGATTTCCTAAAATAAATTATGCTTACCCACCTTATTAATGAGTTAAGCGCAGATTAATGAAGATTAATTAGACTTATGTAAAAGTCAATAGTAGTTGGTGTTTATAATTTTACTACTGATTTTCTTTCAATTCATGCTGACTTTTACTGTTTAATAATTAGCTTTGTGCATATTAAGAAATGCTCGCGATATTAGTTTTTAGATGCCAAAGGTTCTGGTTCTACCACCTTGGTTTCGCCTTTTCTCATTTTCCTAATGTTCAGTCTGTCCTCAATTTCCCAAAGGTTCCTGCAGGATGGCTCCTGGCTTTTCCAATTTTATTTCAAGATTTGACAAATAAACACAGGTTCCAAGAGAATCTTGGTGATGCTTTTCAAAAGTAAGATTGCGAATATTCATGGAATTGTTTATGAAATTTTAAACGGATTGTTTAATACACAATATAATGGGTGTGTCTTTTTCCACGTGTTGAGATTAGTTGGCTGTTCGTATATTGCAGTAATAACATTTCTGCAACAACTTCAAATAACAAACTCAGCCTTATTCTTGGGCTTTTGGTGGTATTTATTATGCCCTTCTTGTATCCAACAAATTTGGTATCCGATACGAGATACTTGACTTTTCTTCCATCAACTAAGGATCCAATGCAACTACAACATGCCATTTTAATGTCTATGTGGTGGCTTTTTAACCCCATGTTTGGCCCCCTGTTTTTCTTAAACTCATCATTTCTCAAACTCATTTTCAACCACACATTTGGTCCCCCGTTTTTCTAAAATTCATCATTTCTTGAACTCATTTTCAACTACACATTTCATGGGACATATAAGTTTTATCAAATTTTCAATCATATATTTCATCAACTTTTATCAAAATCTACTAAAAATCCGATTTTTATCTACACCAAATAGGGACTAAATCTTATACATGCCCCAGTTTGTTTTTTCGATAATCTATCTTCAATGAGTGTTATATCCACTTGACTTATATTCTCTTTCTTATTCTATTCAGTTTTATATGGTCACACTTCCATTCTAAGATCTTCATTTCTGCTATTTTCATCTTGTTTAAATTTTGTTCTTTAATGGTCCAACACGCATGTAGTAGCATCAACCGCTTTCCACAAAAACATTTTAAGCTTATAGGGACCTTCCTATAGATCATATCTCATGGAATACTTGTAGATCGAGCCAATCTAATACTATGGATGACATCTTCTTCAAGTCCTTTTACCCCGTTAATTAAAGGACTTACTAACTATACTAAAAGGGAATTCTACGTATTCCGTTGTGATAAATCTTTCACAAAATGTTTTAAGTATACTGTATAGATTCTTAATATTCCTTAGTCAAATACAGGTCTCTACAAGACAAATTCTTCTGTTGCCATACAGTTATCGACATCTCACAGCACTTGGGAAGTATCATTTCTGGGTTATTTTTTGCTTCTTAGCGTTTCTGTCTAAAACCCAGATCTAGACAATAAGGACCGCAAAATATAGAATTTAATATTAGAATTCTTTTATCTTATTTGAAGCATGGAGCAATTTTGCTAACTAGATTGTGTCCGGATAATTGAGTCTTATGCACTGAAGGCCTCGGATTTGAGGAATCGTGTTTTAGGCTTTTGGGAAATTTTTCTCTCTTTACATGTGAATTCACTTTACCTTTGTAAGGTGCTGGCATGCTAGATGTCTAATTAAATTTTCATCATACTTAAGATTCAACCAGTTATATCAATTTAGAAGATCCTTATTGTTATTGTTTGACATTTTTCAAATTTACAATAAATGTCGTGATATATTTTTACCAGAAGCATCAATTTATGTATGGTTGTGTTATTGGGAAATTCTCACAATCTCATCATTCCTTAAAAGAACATGTAAGTTTTGTTTCTTGTTATCTAGGTTATATTATGTTTGAAAGTTCGTATTCGAAGATTGCATTAATGGGGATATTCCTGAATTTTTCTGGTTTTTTCTCTACATCATTTTGTTAGAAAGTCTTGCATGGCTAGGCAATTAATGATTTGTACTTGATTATAGCTAATTGGGTTTCCCTATTAAATGAATTGGTTCGCTTTGATTTTTGTCATAGTTAGGTTCAATTTTCTTGTAATAGTCATATGATGATTGTATTTTATAATTGCTGAATATTTTTTTCTGCATCTTTATATGAATATGCATGCAACGGTCCTATTACGACTGAATCTTATAATTGCTGAATAGCAGAATATGTTTTTCTGTTTGCTTCTTTCTTTTTGGCCTATGGTGTTTGGTTGTAGGCTTTAAATACTTATCACCTGTAATTCACCAAAAATGGTTTCTTCGGTTTGCTCACTTGGTGGGATTTTGGTGTCAAATTACTTTAGGAATTCAAATTGCAGTTGATAAGATGCAGATAGGTAAAGGTTCTGTTAAAATGGAGTTTGCAAGTGCAAGGTTCAGTGATATTGTATTGAGGATTCTGAAAGATCTTTGTTAAGATTACTTTTGTTATTGCCTTTAGGATATATATTATATAAGGGGCACAGCCATTTGTATGTACAAAAGTGAGTCGCCTTATCCTTTGGATGAAGGGCAAGAAGCTCGATAATGAATTTGTTGTGTCTTCATTTCAGTTAGTTTTCCATTCTTAGACAAGTTAAGCTGGATGGTTATAACATTCTGTTTTCTCCTGAAAAAAAAAAGGGATATCTGGTCTTTGACTGTGGAGATTTCTTGGATTGAATTAAGCTCCTAGATTCTTGTTTGTTGCAAATTGCAAGCTATTTTTATAATCTTAAAGCGATTGAGAAGGAATATATTATAAAAATAAAGAGTTTCCTTGTTGAAATTCATCAGAATAACTTGTATCATCATGCGAAAAGATCAAGAAGTTTAAGGAGTGTACTTGTATCATTAGAATACTGTCTTTTCAAAACTTTGTGGTTTTCCACGGTCAATCATTCAAATACTTGGTGAAGTTTAAGGAATTAGGGGTGTTTTTAGGAGATTTTGCCAATTTCTTTCTTCTTGTCATCTTGTGATATGAGCACAGTTGAATTGAAGTTCAAAGAATGAGAAATGATATCAAAAGACCCCAACATATGGGGACCTCCTTTTCCAATTTTTATTTTTTTATTTTTTATCGTGTTATTTTTTCCTTTCTATTTGCCGTGGATTGCCGTGTTATTCTTTGATTTTGTTGTGCCTTGTCAGCGATTAGCTAGTTAGTGGAAGTTATTTCTGTTTCAGCTTCAGTGGTTGTTTGACATCATCTTTTGCGGAACTGTATAATTTTAAATTGCAATGCTATTATCATTTATTCATCCCCTTCTTTTGGAGGGAATAAAAAGTTTGTAAAGATTACTTTCGTCTCCAGTAGTAGAAGATCGATGTTTCTCTTGTTATCAAATTTCTACTGCTGGTTGCTAAATAAAATATTTATTTGGCGTTTAATAGGAGCTTGTAGAACTTCTTTCCATCCTATATGTGCAAGGGAGGCAAGACACAGAATGGAGATATGGGGTAAACTTGGATTTGATGAGGTGCGCTAATTCTTATGATTGTTAAATTATTTTCAAAAAGACTATGGCTATTGATACCTTTATCTTTGTAGTAACTGTGATTATCATAATTTTGTTGATGTTATAGTGTTAATTTGAAACTGCTTTTCTTTGGTTGCTAAACTTAATTTTTTCGTAGCCTGCTTCACGTTGCTAGAGAATTTTTATTAAATGTTTTCAATCTTCCTTTGTTCATATTTTCTTCACTGCTTGTATATTTTAGGTTGAATTGCGTGCATATTGCTCGAAACATTCAGAAGTCCAGAATAACAGTGACGCTAAACTGACTGGAGATATGTCGTTAGCAGTTGATTCTGTTTCTAATGTCATGCATCAACAGATGGCATCAATGGCAAACAAGCCTTGCAAGTTACAAATTGACCAAAGTAATGATTATAAATTGGGTGTTCACATTAAAACAACTGATGCGGATCGAAGCAAGCTGGATGGTAATATATTGCATGAACAATTGTTACATAATAAGTCAAATGCCAAATCTCAGCCGGAAAGTGGTGATGCACAGCACCCTGTAGATAATGATGCATTGGATAGGAACAACAACAAAGATGTCAATGCTTGCGATTCTATGAATTTTATCAGGATACTGAAGAAGGTATTGAAATTGTGAGTGTATTAGCACTAAGCACTGGATATCTGTTGTTTGTTTAGTGAATTATCTATTTGTTTTTCATGCAGTTAATTGATCTGGGCAAAGTTGATATAAGAAACGTGGCTTCAGAGATTGGTGTTTCACTTGATTTACTGAGCAAAATATTCATCGTAATGTGCATTTTCATCATTTTTCGTTCCTTGTCTATTTCCTATTTTTGGGCGAGTGATTTGATTAAAATGCAATTGAGTCAGTTGCATCTGGTGCTTGCCTACCTATTCACGTCGGTTGATTCTGGTGTAATCACTTTTCTTTTGTAAATCTTAAACTTGAAAATAAAAATCTAGTTTATGCTTGGAGTTGCTGCATTCCAATTGCCTTTACCTTTGTGCAGGATAATCATATGGTTCCTGAGTTGCAATGTAAAATAATGAATTGGTTGAGAAATCGTGCCTATATTAGCAGCTTTCAGAAAACTCTGAAAGTCAAAATGCGAGCTGGAGTACCTCCAAAAGATGAGGCAAATGTAGCTGATGGTGTAGGTGCTGTTTTGGTGGAGGAGTCTGATATCTCTGATGTTGTCCCTGTTAAATCTGTTCCATCTCGAAGAAGAACAAAAAGCAACGTACGGATTGTGAAAGATGAGAATTTAAGCTTTTCTAAGGAAAAGATTAATGACGATGAAATGATGAAAACTGAAGTTGAAAATCGCCTTCTTGACGGGGAAGACTCAAATGGTCCAGGCGGGGAGTATGTTCCTGATGGAACCAAGAAGGTATTTCTTATTGGATGTTTAGTATGTTTTTGTGATAGATAAATCGAAGTTAACTTGTTCAGTAAAGGCGACGTGGAAGTCAAATGACCATGGATTCACGTGTTGTATGCTGTCGAAGGTTTTCTAATTTTCTGTTAGTAATTGTTAATGTACTAATGATTTTTAAACAATAACCTGCTTTTCTCTCTTATCTATTGTTATCTTAATAGACTAAATCATATTACTTTCATTTCAAAGTAAATTGGATGGTTCGATTTTTTGCTCCACCGGGCTTTTTGCTACCTCATGCCACTTATTATTTGCTTTTCTCGTTTCATAAATCCTTTTTGTGATACTAAAGTTCAGCCAAAACAGTAAAACTGGTATTTTTTGATTGAAACACAAATGATTCATTGGAAATTCTGTGTAAAATAATCTTCTTGTTGATCCCTAAAGCCAAAGCATCCCTTCTGTACTAATGAGTTTTTGACTTCAGAAATTATTATATAATGAGTTCTTTATCTAAGACTAGTTTCACTTTCCCATTGGCCGTGTTTTTGGTCAATTTAGTTAAAGCACGTATAATATTATTTTCAACGGTTATTTTTATACATGACCTGTGCGTGTCATTTCAATTGCTTGTAAGATGTCCAGTGCTGCATGGACGTTATATTGTATTTTCCATGTTATGCAGATCATGGTTAATCTGGTGCAGCATCAAGATAATCCCGCAAACGGTTCTCTTAAAATTGAAGGTGGTTGGTCTGGTCACCCCTGTAATGTTGTTCTTCGGTTTTCTGGAATTCCATTTTACGCGTTTAATTTTAAGCTTTACCCTTTTGAAGTGTTTCTTTGGTATATATTGTTTCTGTAATAAGTGGAATGACCTGAAACGGAATTAGTAATGTAAATTATTCATATAGAGAGCAATGAAACATTGATGGTTTTCCTTGCCAAGAAGGTTATCTGCAAAGTAATCAGAATAAAAGAGAACTTGATGAAATTTCTATGAAAAGGCTGTTCTTCAATTTTTGATTTTTTTGGGAAAAATTACGTATATCTGTAGTAGATTGAAATATAACATATTGAAATTTCAATGAAAAGGCTATACTTTCTTCTTGAACTGTTGAAGAAAAATTACGTAAGATATAATGAAACGTGTAATTTGTATTGTGAACAGTGTTAGGACATTGGCGCATGAGTTTTTTTTTTCCCTTATTCTGAATTTTCAAACGTAAGGGCTTTTCGTTTTAAGTTTCAGTATTCTGTGTTGGTGTAATGGGGAATTAAGATTGAAAAGTAGAATGGCCTGTTAATTTTAGAATTTTTTTTTGGGATGTATAGAGGTAAAGCGTTGTAAATTTGATTGTTCTGAGGGGAGTTACCAATATTTGCTGTTTTTATTTGGGAGTATATTGTTTTTGAAGTTTGGTTTAAGCAGGAGTTTTACTTCCATATTTCATTTTTTTTTGTGGATTTTCATGCTTGCCTTGTCTGCATGGACAGATGAGCCGTTAAAAGCTTTGACCCAAAGTCTTACTGATGATTGTCAAGTTGGGGTTGCCACAGCAACTGAGCAGAATACTCTTGCGAATTCTGTCATGGAGAATAATCATTCACTCTTGCCGATGTAAGTTTGTTCATCTAGAAGAGGTTTATGCGTTCTCTGTGGTCGCCAATAGCCTATTTCTTTCGGTTTTCCCCCGTGAGCTAACAATGTTGGTGATTTAGTGGGAATACTGACAATAACTCTTTTGTCTTGTAGAAATTGCGAAGCCATGTCCAATTCTTACATACACCCATTTATATACAGCAAATTGATGCAAATAAAATATGGTGTGCCATCCCAAACTTCATGTCATGAGTCTGATTGTAAGATTCCATCTGATGCTCCTTTGGTATAACTTCTTGGTGTTGGGTGGTTACTTACTTAATTTGGCAGGTTTAGGAGAGAGAGCAGTTTCACTGTTAGAAGCATTGTCTAGTTCAGGCCTTTGTTGTAATAATCACAAACGCCAATCAACTTCTGGTGATCAGACTATCAAGTGCGATGGAGTAAATCTTGATCTGTTGGTCAAGGCGAGAAATGTGGGTCTCTTAAAACTGTCTCCAGAAGATGAAGTGGAAGGAGAACTTATCTATTATCAGCACAGACTGCTTTGTAATGCTGTTGCCAGGAAACACTTTAGTGGTCTGTACTTTTGCCTGTTTTAACATGTCTCCTATTAATTTGGGTGCTGTTCCGTTTTAGATTGCAGTGTGTGCATTTTTTTTGTTGGATTTGTGTGATAGCTTGTGGTATCTTACCGTATCACTTTTTCTTTCTGCACAGATGATTTGATACGTAAGGTTGTTAGGAGTCTTCCACAGGAGATTGATGTGTCAGGAAAACAAAAATGGGATGATGTGTGTGTTAGTCAGTATCGCTATGAGCTTAGGGAAGCAAAAAAGCAGGGAAGAAAAGAAAGGCGGCACAAGGAAGCTCAGGCCGTATTGGCTGCTGCAACAGCTGCAGCTGCAGCTTCCTCTAGGCTATCATCAATTAGGAAAGACGCCCTTGAAGAACCTGCACTCCAGCAGGTTGTATTTCTGCGTGTGCTTTAGTGAATCATGACTTTTTTTTTTCTGTATTATTTATTTGTCTGTACGTATTTTTTTGGCAGGATCTTCGAAAGATGAGTGCATCTGATGGAAGGTCCATGTCATACTCTCAGCAGAATCCTCTAGTGAAAGATATTTTTTCAAGATCCGCTGTTGCAAGGCCATCGTCAGATACAAACTCTGATTTTTTCCAGTTAGCTCCAGATTATTCCAGAGAACATCCTCGGACATGTGACATCTGCAGTCGGTCCGAGACATTTCACAATCCAATTTTAGTCTGTTCAAAATGCAAGGTTTAACTCTTTTAACATTTCTTACATTACTGATATTTGCTTGTTCTTAGTTCTGATTCTGATGCACAATTCTTGCTTTTTGTTTGACAGGTTGCAGTTCACTTAGATTGTTATTGTAGTATCAACAGCTCAATGAGACCATGGCATTGTGAATTATGTGAAAACTTGTTTTCTTCTCAAAGCTCTGGTCCTCCAGCTACTAATTCCTGGGAGAAGCCTTATTTTGTTGCAGAATGTGGTTTATGTGGTGGGACTGCAGGTGCTTTTAGAAAGTCAGTTGATGGTCAATGGATTCATGCATTCTGTGCAGAAGTAAGTCACCCTCTTTCATCTTTTGCTACTCATTTGGCCACCATCTGGCATTGCCATCCTTTCATTTTCATTATTTTTATTTTTGTTGTGATAGTGGGTGTTAGATTCAACATTTAGAAGGGGTCAAATAAATCCTATTGAGGGAGTGGTAAGTGAATTTACAATTCGAGGAACATTTGTATTTGTGATCCTAGACTGTCTTAACCCGTATTTTTACTGTTGTTTGTTCTGTTACGTTACCAGGAAACAGTGTGCAAGGGAAGTGACCTGTGCATTGTGTGCCTCCGGAAACATGGTGTCTGCCTAAAGGTGAAGATTTCCAAGAGTTGTGGTTTACCTTTCTAACTTCTTTCGTGAGCTATTTGTTTTTCTCCGTCATGGAACTGAATTTATTTTTGGCAATGTTCAGTGTAGTTACGGTCACTGTCAGAGTACATTCCATCCTACTTGTGCTAGAAGTGCTGGTTTCTACATGAATGTGAGGACTGATGGAAGCAAGTTGCAGCACAAGGCTTATTGTGAAAAACATAGCATAGAACAGAGATCGAAGGTTGAAAGTTTTTCTTTTTTGCCCTGGTTATTTGTCCTGATTGTCTGTTCATAGTCTAACATTGATTGTTTTTACTTGATATACTCCTGCAGGCTGACATTCAGAGGTGTGGATTTGAAGAATTCAAGGGTCTTAAACAAATCAGGGTATGTGATCATAACTACATACATATTATAATTTAAAACAGAGCATTTTGGTGCAAGTTGTACTCACTGGTAATGCATGTATGGTTTATATTTGACCAGTCTTAATTATTTATCTTCCCAAAAATGTCTCTGTATAAAATATTCAAGTCTATCACTTCAGATATGTTGACCAGATTTCATGATAGAGCAATAAAGTGCGGCCATAGTTATAATAAACAGCTGTGTCTAGCTGGAAAAGCGGTTAACCGGACTTGGCATGGTCCAGTTACTCGTTTGGACCTGTTCACAATCAAACCAACCATTGGTAGTCCAACCTATTCCCGGTCCTGTTACTCTTTTGGTCCTGTTACTTTATAACTTTTTGTCAAGTACAAAAATTCTCTACTTTTTATTTAATAAATAAAGAACTACTGTATGATATATTATTTTCTAACATGTAGAGAACTGATCGTAGCTGAAACAAACCTAACTGAAAATGTATAAGCAATTTGTAGAATAGGAAATCAAATCATCAAAGGACGATTCACAATATAATTTATGAATCAAAATTAAACAAATATAACGTCAAAAGGAGTATAAATTATGTCTTCATGCTATAGGGAAGAAACATAACATACAGAATAAAATAATAAATATAGTACTTTTCTTGTGAACGATTATCCATTTAAAACTTATAATTTACCATGAAAAAGTATAAATAGTAATAAATAATCCATGTGATTCTTCAAAGGCCTTGAATATTTATGTAGCCATCTGCCCACTATTCTCAGCAGTGACCCATTGGTTAAGCCGGTGACCTGATAAGGTCAATGTCCAGTCTAGTCTAATAACCATGAATTAAACATTATAAATGTAGAGGTTTGAATGTAATTTAAATTGAAGTATAATTTCTGCTGTATCTTCTTGATCTCCGTTGACACCACAAGTCTTACTTTTGACGCTGCTTGTTTTGGAGCTAATGAACAGTGTTGGTGCAGAATGGGAGAGAGAAGAAATGGAAAATTACCAAACCAATATTTAGGCATTATTTCCTATTTTAAACCTAAAAATTATGAAAATGAATAAATTTAAACTCAATCAAATAAATTAAAACAAATCAAAATATACTTCTATACTTGTTCCTAAGAATTAATGTTTTATGTATGAAAAGTCTTTTAAGAGTATCTGTTAGTATCTTCATCACATGGTGACTTGGGGAAATTTGATCGGTTATGGTTAGTGACGGACTGAGCAGCGATAATGATCTAAGTTGATGGGTTATTGTGGTGTGATATTATAGTGGTGGTACTGTTGAAGTGCTGGTTAGCAGTTTGTATTAAGGCTGCAGCGATTGCTATTGCAAGAGAAGTTCAATGACTGAGGTGAGAGGTGAAATGGAAGTGGCTAGCCCTCAGATCTGAGATGGGGAAACGAATGGAAGGTTGCTTTGAATAGTATTTGGCACAATTCTGGGGCTGCTTCAGGTCTTCAAGTTTGTTGGTGGCAGGCTGAGCTGCAACAATGATCAAAATTGATGAATTATCAACTATCACTAGGGGAGTTCAATGACTGAGGTGAGAGATGGAATGGAAGAAGTTAGCTCTAAGATCTGAGATGGGGAAATGAATAAAAGGCTGCTTTGAATAGTTTTTGCCAACAATTTTCGGTCTGCTTTAGGTTTTCAAGCTTGTTGGTGTGTGATGGTGGCCGTGGCGATGGTGTGGACCTTTGATGATGATGAATTGAATTTATAGAGATGGAGAGGAAGGAGATATGGTTTCTCTTTGCAATTCGGTCGTGGCTTGTTAATAAGTGGATCATGGAGATTTTAGCACTTGGTAAAAAGACAATGGGGGTTGCAGTTGGCTTGGTGGGAGGATGAGTTGGTTCACTTATGGATGATCATTTAGGAATATTGTCTATTTCATCTCAATGCTGAGGGAGGACAAATGTTATTTTCAGAACCTTAGATTGTCTACCTACTATTGGCCCTTTGGGAGGTGCATGTACTCTTAATATCTACCAACAGAATCCAACTCTGTACGTTCCCTTTTTTCTTTTGTTATTTCTATAAATGTTTTAGCAGTTGGTATTAATCTGCTTGTTGGAATTTCTGAAACATGAAGAGAATGAATGCGTCCGTTCTTCTGTGTGTCATACATAATTTGGTTCTGTGTTATTCCTTTCGTTCTTGTGGATGACAGTGTCTAGGGCTATACATCTTATTCAAATGGAATTATCATTTACTTGCTTATTGTTTGTTTTATTTTCTCTGGCTGGCCATTTTTTTAAAATGACCACATATCAGCTTTGTGCATGTTGGTTTATGTTATTGTATTGCCTGTTATTATATTGTTGCTAGTTTGAACTCTTCATTTGATGGGTTTGTTCTCTCTGCACTATGGATTATTTTATGCAGGTTGAATTGGAAAGACTGCGTCTTCTGTGTGAAAGAATTGTCAAACGAGAGAAATTGAAAGTAAGCCTCTGCTTACCACTTCTATAACGTTACCTCCACCTTTATCTTCTTCCCTCAGTTACTCATCTTGTGTGGTCCTCTTTCTAATTTTCTTTCAAAATAAGCGTAATGCTGCAGCATTTTTCCGTACAGAATTTTGGCGATTTGACCTTTTTGTTGGTTCCATTACTTTTTCCTGAACAATCATTTTCTTTTGTTCTGTACTCTGCAGCGTGAATTGGCTCTTTGTTCACATGGTATTCTTGCTTCAAGTCGAGACTCTGTTTTGTCTGCTTTGGCTCATCATCCTTTTTATCAACCTGATGTTAGTTCAGAATCAGCTACAACCTCAATCAAGGGTTATACCGATGACTACAAACCAGGAAGTGAAACTGTGCAAATAGCAGATGACGTGACAGTAGATAGTACAACTACAGGTAAAAGGCGGATTAAGCTTCCCATGTCCATGGACAATGACCAAAAAACTGATGACAGTTCTACATTCCAAAACCTTTCAACCCTAAAACCTATTGAGAGGATTTCATTTTCTGGGAAGCAAATTCCTGAGAGACTTTCTGTTGCATCTCGGAATATTTCGGATGATGTGGAAAAGCGGTCAAAATATAGAAATGTAAGTGCTTGTTTGATGAAACCTTGCTAAAATTTAATCAACTTTTCAACCGGTCAAGCTTCATTTTTAACTATATATTTCATGGGACTCACAACTTTTATCTAACTTTTCAACCACATATTCCATCAACTTTCATCAAAAGCTTTGTGAAATAATCCCCAAGTGTTTGTTTTTGAGGTGGCGGGGATTTTAGTTTTCTCCTCTTTCTTTTAATCATCATGTCAATAACTAAATTTTATAAATGAATTGGTCAAATATTAACTAGCTCTTAACATAATGCAGCATACTGAAACTTTTGAAAAAGAATTGGTGATGACATCAGATCAAGCATCTATGAAGAATCAGCGGTTACCTAAAGGATTTGTTTATGTTCCCATTCGATCCCTTTCTAAGGACAAGGAGACTGCTCCAGATTCAAGTTCACAAGAACCAGCAGAACAAAATGGAAAGATTTAATTCTTTAGAATCTTAGATGCATTGCTGAATGTTGGAAATTCCCGTTGTGTAATGTTCTCTTTCTTGGCACTAACATGTACAGTGCCGATAAAGGTGGCCCCCCTCTTCATTGTTGGGATGAGGAAGTTTTATGTCTTTGTTGTACATGCATGTCTGAGTGACTGCACATTGGGTTGGGGTTTTTTACCATTGCATGTATCTCAAGCGGCTCAATTTGTTTAGTTAGGTTGCTTTTTCCTCTTTTTTAACAACCAAATTTTTCTTTCTTTCTTTCCTCTGCTGGAAAGGGCAATGGAAGCTATACTTCTTGTAATTGTATACATCTGTCGGAAGGTATTGCCTACTTGCGGGCTTTGTAAAGTTAGTGTAAATATGAACTCAATGTCAACATTCGAAAAGAATTGGCCCAGCAGAAAATGATAATAGATTAAACATAATTTTTAGTGTGCAGTACTCGCGGGTGAAATTGTTCTTTGTTTCACTATACCTTGATGTTCCTCGTCTTCTTGCTTGTGGTTGCATAGTTACAACCTGGGATCTTTATTTATCTGTTGGTTTAATAACTTACATTTTTATTGGCCTCCCTATTGTTTACCTGTTCTTAGTGCTAATTGTTTCTCTACTGGGATGAAGCATGAAATATTTGGAACTTGATAAATGTTGGCGAAATTGAATTGTAGGCAGTCGGTCCGGCCTTCAGCTGGACTGACACTGCTGATTCAATGCTTGCTTGGTGAAATTTTGAGTATGTGGTCTGCTGGCAGTCGTGTGAAGGTATGATTTCCTTTTTTCTCTACTTCACTTATTTTTGAAAAATTATGGTAGGATCATAGTCTGGCCAATAGTTTTCATATAGTTGGGGGTTTTAATTGTTGTGTTTACTTAATGTAGGCATTTGTGGTTTTCTTACTGTTGGTTGTAAACAGAAAGTGCTTATAAATGTTGCTCTATTGGAGTCATGGATACAAGTTTCAAGCATATAGACCTTTTATGGGAGTTATGAAATCAGTAATAATTCAAATATTGTGTATCAAATATGTGAGTTTGAAATTGCTTGGTTCGTAGAGCATCGGACTGCAAGTCCTCAATTCATTTGTTATGAGACTCCTTGTAGCGATCCAGGCCTAGATCTAAGCTGTCAACTTTTGTGTACTGTTCTTTTTGGGAAATCATGACCCAAATCGTTAACTCTTGCGTACTGGGGATGCAAAAGAAATTCGTGAGAGATAAAATGTTCATACACTCTCATAAAGCAGGTAGTATGAATGAGTTAACATTTGGGTGCGATGTTTGAGATCTTACACTCTTTTAAGAATTGATTTGAATCTAAATTGTAGGAGACTAGTCTCGTATATATACATACACTTAATTTTTTCTTGTTTTGATAATTCCTTCACGTCATAATTCTTTCACATGAAAGATGAGCATTGCCATATTTTGTGTATAATTGAATTATACAGTTGTAATTAGGTATAGCCGTCATCTTCATAATTCTTCAATATTTTCAATCATTGCCATCAATAAGTATTTTCAAATTTCTTTATTTTGATAATCCCAACAGATTAGCCACTGTTTTGAATTCTAGAAAATCGAGAGAGAGAGAGGAAAAAAAGAAGATAATTTCAACAAAAAGCTGAAATTCTTGTTTTTGATGATCATTGCAGAAAAGATGACCATCAATGGTTTAAATTCAAGAAAATAAAATAAGATAATCCCAATTAGAAACTCACAATTTAGAATGAAATTTCTTATTGATACCACTTGAAATAAAAAAGGGACATTATCAAATGATTCAAATACAAATCAAGAATATTTCACATGTTCACAAATCAAGAATATTTACATATATTTTCGGTACCGATTAAAATCTAGAATTTAATCTAAGTCAAAATTAATAATTAATTTTAATCATATATTTCATGCGTCTCACAACTTTTTAACCATAAATTTCATTAACTTCTATCAAATTTTGATAATAATTAATTTTAATCACATATTTTATGAATTCAACAACTTTTTAATTGTACATTTAATCAATTTCTATTAAAATCTACTAAAATCTAATTTTAGTCCCCACCAAAAGCGCTATAAATTCATCAAACCTATAATAAAAGGTTTTCATTATTTTTTTCAAATTCTTCTTCATATATGTATGTGTTTTCTCTAATTGTGTCTCTTCCATTATTGTTTTGACTTAGTTGAAGATAGATTTTTAGTATTAGAGTTTTAGTTAAACATCAATTTTTAAAAAAAATTAATAAAAATGATTATTAGTGAGTGAATTAAGAGTGATATGTTTTTATTTAATTTTATATATGTTTATGTAAGTAAGTCCCCTTTTTTATGGTCATTATTTTAAGAAAATGGGGTTTTGAATAATAATTTTTAGAGAAAGTGTAATTAAATATTTTATTATATAAATGTATAATTAAAAATGAGTATGAGAATTAAAGAATTGAAATAATGGATGTCAAACATGACCTAAATTTCCACGAAGTTAAAAGCATAATATAATTTTCTTTAAATACACACACATATTAGTCTTTTGCCCATGCAATGCACGAGCTTTGCTATTTTGAAGGTAATGTAAGCTTGTTGAATGTTAATGATTGAGACACACACTAATCTTTCGCCCATGCAATGCATGAACTTTGCTATTTTGAAGGTAATATTAGCGTGCCGAATATTAAGGATTGACGGGGAGATTATCGTACGTTTATTTGTTGAATTCTATTCTAGTGAAACTAAATTTACTTTTATTTCAATGATTTGAACCAGCTAACATGTAATCAAAATAATGTACCATAATTTCGTTGTGAAATCAGAAGTTATTACCTTATATTTATGATGTAGGTCATCACTCTCGTGATCACTCGACAATTACTCTCGTGGCAGGACATGGTAAATGACTAAATGTTAGTGCCAATGACTAAGCTTGTTGCACGTGACAAAGGAAAATTGTAGGAAAACATTTTAGGACCAATGTACTACAAAATAAATAAATAAAAATATGAAAGCAGTAAAAGAACAGAATTTTCAAAAAAGCAATACATGAAACATGAAAAACAAATGTTCTGAGAAGAACACCAAAGACAACATTTATACAATCCAAATTATACTCAAAAAACCAAAAAGTGCTCAACATGTGGAAGCTTTTGACAATCCAAACAGTTGCAATTATGTAACTTCTTACAACCTTCTACATAGATCAAATGGGGCCATAATTACATATTTGAATTAGTTAAAGTTTCGAAAATAACAATAAAATATAGAATACTCTTTAATGTGAACAAATTTCAGAGAAGACAATCCTAAAGTCACTTGCTTAATGGAACAAAAACAATAGATGAATACATCCTATAAATTATAATATGTGTATCCCATAAACGACCATTTTTAGTTATGAGATATTAAGCTCTATTTTCATACTTGCTTATTAGTTTCAGCTTATAAGTTGCGACACCGAGCATTTCAGTAGTCCTAACTCTCTTAATATTGATATGGAAAAGAAATATGTCACGAGACAATTAACACACACCAACAATGTCATTGTGCCTATAGCTCCTCTCCGTAACAGAAGAAAAAAGATACTTTAAGAAATATGCCACAAAGGCAAAATAAATATTGAAGAATCTATAAATAAACTATACATTTCTATCGGGACGATAACACACAACAATCACTATTTCTCTACTATCCATTCAATAACAGACTTGAAAACCTTGAACTTCCCAATCGTGCATTCTTCCATCTATGGAGGCACTTAAAAAAATAATTATCGTTTACAAGACTGAATTCAATGTAGTACACTATAGGAGTAATAAAAGAATCAACATGTGAGATAAGTCTATAAAAGATTGAGAAAATCAAAATGTATATTTAAAGCATGTTTTGCTAAGCTGAAAAAGTTTACTTATAATCAAATGAGTAAATTATTTAACTTAAAATAAAAGCAAGTAAAAATAACATATCTAAGCATGTTTGGCAGAACAATGTATTTATAAGCTTAGCCGAACATGCTTTACGTAAAGCAATGAAGCCAATAGAGGCTTATTATAGTTATTATGTGAATAAGCATAAGAACTTTCTATGTTTTTCCCAAAGAAAGGGAAAAAAGAACCTGCTTGAGTACTTTGAGTGTTAGGACCATGAGCCACAACTTCAGCCACATTGAGACCAATGGTCATACTCAGCCACAGCGGTAGAGCTTAAAGGATGGACTTGTTGGGCAGAGGGAACTCCAATTCCATTACGTCCAGCTAACACAGCCGCCTCTGTAAGAGCTGATATCCATTTTTTCACCACCTATCACAGTTGAGGTACCAACTGGTAAGATGTGAATGACAGTACTCAAACCAGGAGAAGGAACTCTTACAATATCAAGGGCAGCTAATCATCAACTCAAATAGGAGGGATTGATAACTCCCATTAGTGAGAACTATGGAAAATTTTGGAATACGGAAATACACAAATGCACACATCAATGAAGGTATCGAACTACCATTACTTCGGTTCCCCTAAATTGGTACTTTTTATTATTTTCTAATTGGGAATATGATATGAATAAGAAAATAAAGAAACAAAAAAGTAGGCATTGTGTTGAAGCCAAGATACTGAATCCATTAGACTTCATGAAGCTGATAAAACTGATATACTATGAGAGATCCAAATACAATACTACATAATACACCAAATCATTATCTGTTCAAGAGCAGTTTCCCGAATCAAGAGACGGGTGATTATGGATGGAAATCACTTACAAAACGAGCTGATCAACTCCAAATATGTTTTCGACACAATGTTCTATTACATTGATTTCCATATATGCAGTCATACATATGCATCTGAAGTTGTATATATAAGTTCACATTTTGGCTGCCCAGTGCAATCAAGACACCAGAAGCTTGTTCCAATTACAACTCTGAATGCAATTCATATGGATTGCTGCCAACGACAGTCAAGTTTGTGAATTTAAGTCCACTCTCTGAGTTAATCTTGAG